ATGCCCTTAGATGTTCTTGGTTAACAATAGAATAGCAGAAATTAAATAGTTCACCTAGCTGCAGGTGGTGATAAAGGATTTATCCTGATGAACTAAAGTTGATATTGGAGGGTTTTTATTTATCAGAACAAACTCTTTAACTACTCTTTCTTATTTTCTCTTTTTTTTTTTAAAAAATAAAAATTTTTTTTATCTCTTAGGACTACAGGGTTATTCAGAGTGACAATCTGAATATAGGCTGGTTGAGATCTTTCAAGGCATAGTTTTTGATGTCTAGTCTTAAAAGGGATTAACTTCTTCATTCCCGATGATTATATCCAGAGAGTTTAGATTTAGAAAGTCTAAAATAGTTAATACTATGCAGTAATAGCTTAATAAACCTACTCTCTTATAGTGAAATAGTTAGTAAATAACTAAATTATGTGGGCAACATGGTGGTCTTGGTATTAAGGATTCAAGAATCACATATAAACCTAAATTCATTAATAGGTGTTTTGCAAATTATGTGATAGTTTAGCTTTAGTATAGTATTATATATATTGTACTACTGTTTTTCAAAATTAGATAAATAAACACAACTCTTGCAATCTGATTAGAGACAAAAAAAAAAAAGATTATTATATTATTATAATAGGCATAAACATTATAATATGTAAGATGTTTTATAGACTGCTGATAATACAAATCAAAATCTATATAATATGCTTAAAGTACCTAAAATAGAAACAAGTTTTGTGTTTACTTTATCAATCAATAATACTTATTTACAAATATTGGAATTAGGTTTTAAGAAAGCATCACAATCTAGTAAAAGACAAAGCTATTTATATAATAAAATAATAGCAATAAATATAATATAAAGCTCAAATAAAAAATCACAAATTTTATTAGATAAATCACAAATTTTATCAGATTTTCTAATTCAAATTAAAAATAAAGAAATACAAAATCTTGATACAAATTTTTTAAATTCATATATTTTAGATTTATATATAACTATAATTTTAAAATTAGCAAATACTATAGATGATTATCTAAATATTACTACAACAAATAAAGTGATTTTAACAAATCAAATAAAAAGAGTCACTAGACAAATTTGACAAAAATATACTAATTTGCAAAATAATATTATAAATGTACTATAAAATTGTTATAATATTGAGACAGTAATAGTTTTGTTATAAATAGAGCATAACAATTTTTAGAATAATCTTACTTTAATAACTACAGCTTATAATAATAAAGAAAAAAAACATTTTCATTGATGATTCTCATATAATAATAAAAATAAATGTGTTGATGAATTAATTTAAAAAAAGTTTACTATTTAATTATTATTATAGAGATATCATATAAATAGTAGAAATTTACAAATGAAACTAGATATATGTCAAATAATTTATTATTATATGAAGTCCAACTTGATGTTAAATAGAAAAACCCTGGTTCAAAATAATGAGCAATTAATTTTAAATTTACAAGCACAAACTTTATTATTATAAAATAATCAACAAAATAAGATAATGGTGACTAATTAATTATTAACATATTTAGAAAAAAAAAGTTTACAAGAAATTCTAGCACAATTTAGAATAAAATTAGAAGTTTGTAATATAAATGTAGCAAATACAGAAGGTAATCCATCAGAAAGTGATATTATAAAAGGTTTATTATATGATTGTATAAGAGAACAGTTATTAAAATGATTTGATGAAAATATTACAACAAAGCAAAAATTTTGAATTAAAAAATTTGTTAGATAATGCAACACAAGCTGTTATATGATTAATTGTAGAGTATATGACTATCCAATTAGAAACACAAGCATTAAATTAAGCAAATGAACAAGCAGAAAATATAATAATACTATTAAGAGCTATAGCAAATTTGTGAAATGAAGGTTGGAGTATTACAGAAGAAAGACCAACTAATGATCTAATTAATGTTTCTAATACAAATAATGAACAAACTGTAATTATAACAGAAATAAGATTTGATTAAGCTACAGTATATGGTTATTAAAAATACAATTCTTATCTATAGAAGAAGAAACACAAATACTTACAGTATTAACAATCGTTTAGCTTTATTATGGATGTGTGATAAAAAGCATAGATGGTTTGCTACTTTTGATAACGTTAAACATTCAAACTCGTGGTGTCCATTCTGCCCAAAATATAAGAGAGAAAAGCTGTGTCATGAAATTTTAACAAAGTATCTTGGTGCCCCTTCACCAATCCGCAGACCCGATTTCTTAAAGACACAAGAATATCCAAATGGACTAGAACTTGATATATTTTATCTGCAATATGGCTTTGCAATCGAAGTACAAGGCATACAACACGAAAAATATCACGAAAAGATCCCAAAAATTTTATCAAACAGCAAGCACGGGATCAACTCAAGAAAGAATTGTGCGAAGAGAATTGGATTGCTTTAAGGTATGTTTGGTACTACGAAGACCCATATATGGTTATTCCGGAATATCTTCGAGAATTGAGTCTTATTGAGTAAACACAAAACTTTAATTAATTACATTTGTGCAATTATTTTTTTTTAATGTGCTCGAAATCAGAGTAAAAAAATCACATAACTGCGCGACTCTGGGTCACACTTTTACAGAAAAAATTACTATATTTTTTGCACATCATAGATTTGTGATCATCTCAAATGTTATGAATGAAGTAGCATAGTGCAATACATTTCCAGTTATTGATAACGGAATTTAGCAGTAGGTAAAAAATGCTTAGTAATTAAAGATAAACCCAAGCAGATTTATGCAAAAAAGTTTAAAACAGAGGCTACAATATTGTGGGTATTCCTCTAATAGTCAAACATTCTTCTAATACCTTGCTGAACAAAATAAAAGTCCAACGGAATAGGATCGGGTAAGAGAGTTTGAGGTTGGATAGGAGGCGCAGGAGGATCTGGTTGCTTAAAATCATGATAAAGACAGTTTAACGATATGTTAATGATGCATTGACCTTGTGCAATATTTAATGCAGTTCCCGTGCTATCTTGGGTTCCAAATTCAAACTAATAATTATTGTACATACATTAAAGATTTTTAGTATTAACAGAAAGGCGATCACTATAGTTTAGCATTACCTCAGTTACAAGAGGAGGTCTATTTCTCGTTCCTCTGCCTGCTGAGACACAGTAATGCTAAGCCTATAATGAATTAGAATTTTCAGAATGTTATACAAATAATATGATTGTTACACTGGATAAATATAGCTTACCCTCATACGGACTGGTACTTGGTCTTGAGGAACCGGATCGATTTTTACAATAATACAATCGTGGGCACGACCAGGACTCAACCAATACTTCAAAGCTTCTTCAGCGTGATCTAATGTTTCAGTGTAGGCTACTTCCACGACCAGATTTGGTCAAGGACGATCCTGAATAAAAAAGGCATATGAAAATTACTAGCTTTAAAAAGTTCAAAACCAATAAAAAGAACAGAAATTACATTTCCATTGCTCCCATTTGGTGCAGT